ATATCAGACACTTAGGTGCAAGATTATGCCAAAATTTCATGTTTTCCGTCCCGTTTTTGCTCATTTCTCGGAGGCAAAATGAGCAGGAACGCTCATGTGTACATCATTCTAGACAGAAATAAATGGCCTTTTCAGAAAGTCAACCATCGATCAGGAATTGTTGGCAGTTTTCTCAATGTTCAGGTTCTTAGGTTTTCACACATTTCATTCGCCTTAGACTTTCTTCGTACAAAACGCCGTCTAATTCAAATGTCCTGATATTTTTCCTCTAAACTTCCTTCTCTGAACAGTCCGAACGTACATAACTTCAGGATTTCACTTCTAAATTTTTTCGGCTAAGAGTTTTTTTGTCCTTTTTTCCAGATAATTCTTAGCACTGTGAAGCTCTTTACCTCAGGTAAATCGCGTTATTGAGTCATGGTCAATTTTAGATTTAAGATAAGAGGACTTTGAATCATAAAAAACTGCTGTTAAATCGCAATTCCCCTTAACAAGCATTAACATTAACTGCTCGTAATGATGATCCATAAAAACGCGTATTACTTGTCCATTCAACCTACGCAAGAATTACCATAAACTATGAGTTTCAGTCAGTCTAGAAACCTCAATTCGACTACTGTTAATCTAGACAGGAAGCCTGTACTTACGGCTGCTGGTTCTTCAATCCATTCATCGATGCCTTTGTAGATGTGTTGAACAATATTTTCGTTTGGAATGGTCGTGCAAGGACCAAGAGGCGACTTCAGGATGCCGCTGTTGTGCCTGATTTGAGTCAGCAGCCGTTTGTTCAGTTGATTCTTCGCGCTGCTGATGCCTTTGGGGGACTTTAATGCGCTGATCTGGAATGAAGATCGGAATTGAAGCATGGGCAGGTTGATTAATGATAGGGACTTTACCGAAAACATGCGTCTCTCATTGCCAATTAAAGTGAGCAGCCCTACAGCGCCCGCTTGACTGTGCTGGGAGAGGCGATGATGGGAAATCTGCTTCAACACTATTCTAGACATTTTGCTGTCCAACGTTGCGTAGGGTAAATACAAGAAAATATCACAGGTAGGCTCTGAAACCAAGACAGTTGTTTTACACCATGGACCGGCAGAGCGATGAAAACTGAACTTACAGTATTTACAATAATTATCTCAAATAACTAAGTCAGTCTTATGGTACCTAAATGCACTTAATACTTTCAGGACTTCACAAAATCTAATCAAACTAATCAGGCCTGTTGAACTACAGCTTTCATAGTATAGTCGGTGACTCGTACTAAAAGGCGTTTTAAATATTGTGGGCCAACAGCGATAGCGGTTATCTTCGACGAATGGTGGGGCCGATGTGTTTTTCACACTTTTGGACTTTAACACATACGAAATAAGCTCGATCGTTTGAGCGCAATATCTGGAGTGTTTACAATAAATAAAAAAGAAAACTAGAGGTCAAGTGTATAATTTACTAAATTATTTCAGCATCACGATTTCTTTCAATGGGAATGTTGTTCTTGATTTATTGCGACAGTATCAAATATATTGATTCAATAGAAAACCTGCAAAACTCGAAATTTTACCACACAAACAACCGATTTTCGCGTATGTTATGGGGGCAAACATCCTTGAATTGACGCAACAAACAGTCAAAATAGATCGCTAAAGGTGTTTTGGAGATGATCGTTCGCTTTTTTCTGTTTGTGCTTAATTCACAGCGGTGCTGATTATTTACATCGGGCGTCCAAATATTTGCTAGTTCCAGTCCAAAGTACAAAGGTGGCAAACTAATGGACGCATTGTCAATTACAGTGCTTAATGCATGCTCAAATGTTTTCGTTTTTTTGCCGATTTGAATTTCCTGCTCTTCGGAAGTTTTATAACGAAAAAAAGCCAATTATCAAAGGAAGACTAACCGCAAATTCGGCAGCCGATTAAATCGCGCAAAACGGGCCCTTTTTCAATAAAAAAAAACAATGTAACTTCTGAGAAAGTAACAAATGAAAAGAGTTGGAACCTTCAGTCAACTCTGCACCCCTCGTACAGCGGTCGGCTTGGACAAGGACCCACCGATCTCCATGGAAACCGCTATATTGATCTCACTTAGTAGCACGGGTAGAAGTAAATGGCGCTGTGCATGAATAAGGCCAGTGTGCTACGAGGGCTGATTCAAAGGTTAAGATGAAATTAAATCTACGAATAACTTTGACGGATGAAACTGCGTTATAAACAAAAAGAGAAAACGGGAAGAACATCAAAGAAATCAGAGATTCAGTACAAGTACAGGAAAGTTGAAAGTGAATTGAAACAAACTTGGGCACAAACATACGAAGCGAAGTCAAATAAAAACAATGGTATTTAAAATTGAATTAAAACCCAGAACATTAACAGCTTAATTGCTCCCAATTTTGCGAAGGGCAATTGAACCAGATCTGCAATTTGAGGTTGTCTTCGACTTTCGACAAATATCGAGCGAATACATAACTACATAATTCCATTTTTATTGGTTGCTTTATCGCTGTATTTACAAAGTTAAAACACGGAAAACCCAAGTTACAAACGTCTTTTATTATAATCATAATTCCCTGTGACTTGTTTAGTGTTTTATTCCAACCAAATAAGCTTTGTCAGCAGTTAATTAATTCAATCATCAACATGGACTTTTGCACTTTAGATCTTTGGTGAATTACACTGTTGAGCTATTGAAATTAATTTTTTTTGTTGATCTTTCCCACCTGCGTACAACGGAAAAACATTCCCATTTGCATGCCGAACCGCTGATGGCGTTTCCATCATAAATAAAAATGCCGCATTATCATGTCTCGCCATACAATAATCTCTTGTTATCGCTATTGCCAAAACAAACCCACTACATAATGCCATAGTAAATAAGCAGATTATCTTACATTGAATAAATGTCGTTGGTATGAAGCACCACAATGCACTTCTGGGCCATTCAAACAGGTACAAGTTTGTATACAAACAATTAATTAGGCTTGTGAGTAAAGCGCGTTTTTATTCACTAGAGGTTTAATCTGCCACTGAAGAGGATTTTATTAAAATTGTGAAGTTTTTCAGTTGCCTTTGCAAATGTGTTTGGTGGACAGACTTTGTCTTTTGCGTCTCCCTCAAATAAAACCAGGCATTGTTGGGGTCGTTTCTTCCCCTTTTGGTGCCCGAGGAATAGCAATGGTAAATCAATAAAATACCTTCATTCATGTTGAGATCCAGGCTACTACAGCTTATACAGAGTTGTATTTAGGTGAAAGTGATTCATTATGAAAGCAGAATGAGCCAGAAAACAGCAAAACAATCGATTGGGTTTATGTGGCTCATAATCGCTCACTTGTGACTCTTTTAATGTGCCTACTTGAAGCAAATTTGCAGCAATCGGTCCACGTGCGTCAAAAAGTCGTCACCCAATTTTACAATTTCCCGGTTGAATCGTTATGTAATCAAAGTAAACACCGTATTTATATACTGTAGACTTTGAAATCAAGCCATAGTTCAAGATTTTATCTTAGCTTCGACGTAAACAAAATGAAAAATATTCTAAAACACAGCAATTAAATATCGATGTGATTCACAAACAGCGCTATTTACTGTAAAGCCTTCAACAATTTTTTATTTCCAACCACCAAATTGTATATTAATTTCGAAAAAATAGCGAACTTTTGTCTGCGTGACTGGCGATTTCTTTGAATTGGGCTGTTAAAATAATATTAATTCTTGTTCTAGTGTGGCCAGCTTTTGCGTATTTACGTGTGGCTTTTTGCGTTCAAAATACGCATGTGGGTCAACACAAAATATTTAATGCCAATGAGCCAGAGCAAAAAATTAGTAATATTATTCGAAAATAGTTCTAAACGCTAAAATTTCTATTCTGTTGCAAGCTATTTAACAAGACTGGAGGTACTTTGATCAGCATTGGCGAAACGTAGTTTATACGAGGTCAGCTTTTCAATCTAGGAATGATCCAATTGAACCGGAAAACAATGGATTTTTCTTGGCGAGTGTAATCGAAAAATGCGCATAATCCCTACAAACATACTTAAAAGGTATTAACGTGACCTAGTTCCATTTTTAAAGGTTGTCGGTGTTTCCAGATTATTTCTAATTTCCAATATTTTCAAATTAAAATTGTTGCAAATTGCTACAGAACAAAAATTATGTTGACTGTTTCTAATCAATTATTGTTTATTTAAACAAATTGAAACTGCGTTGAGTCATTGCCAATTGCAATTCCATGTTGCACTATTCACCTTTTTGTTTAGTGTGCCCCTCGTACAACCGTTGGATTGAATAAGGACAGCGCGGTTTCCATGGAAACGCGTATATTTTGCTCACTCCTACACAAAGGGCAAACAAGTGCCGCGAGGTGCAAACGAGCCAAGTGTGTTACGAGGGCGCATCTAAGTAAATTCCGATGAGAACACTGAAAGTGAATTGTTTTTTAACACTTTGCTTTTATGGGCGTTTGTTGTGTGATCATTGCCAACTTGAGTTTCATGTCGAAAATGTAGGTTTTAAACGAACTCATGTTAACATTCACTGGCCTTTGCCCATTACAATCTTCACAGTTAACAGGAGAAAGCTGCAAAGAGAAATGTGAAAAATAATCGAGTGTTATGCAGTTACTAATTAATTTGCGGGTGTTTAGTCTAAACATTGCGACAAGCAATTCGATAGACCGTTTACAGATTAGGAGCAATTTGAGGATGATAAATAAATACATGTTTGTTAGGAGTAGTGCCAGTTCCCAATGTGTAAATAAAGATGAAAATAATAAGCAATTGGCAAAAATATAAATAATGTTTATAATTAGACTTGAATGTCGCGCGTCAAGTGGCGTATGAACTCGCAGATAATTCGCACGCCAGCTGATTATTTTAAACAATAACCCATAAACAATTTAATTCCCAGTAAATAGTGTTATTGAAGCTTGTGGTTTTATGCGTGAGGGCAAGTAGAGGCATTAAACTCCAGTAACATCTTTGTAGAATTTACCAAAAAAAACACAAGTTGGCAACTGTTAGAAAACAGTTTCTAATTATTAATGAGTAGCATTTTATGTCGATTGCAATACCGTTTTTTTGTTTAAGTCTATTTGTAATAATTCATCGTTCATCCGTGCAATTTGGTTGGCTAATGCAATTTTTCTCGTCCAATTCTTCATTCCATTGGTAATTGTTACAGGGTTTAAAAATAACTGCTAAAAATAGCTGGAGGTGTGTCAGTCGCATTACTTTTGCCATGTGCTTTGCGATTATTTCCCATTGAAAATGGTATTTTTGCAAACCGCAGTCAATGCATGTTTATAAACATTTCACTGACCTGCGAAACATATGCCGCTTTATGCGAAGATATCGCAGGAAATCAGCGCTTATTTAGAAAGTCTTCAAAGTGAAATGACCGGGTGAAGAGCAACGTTAAGAGTTCGATTGTCATAGTTGGAAATCCCTGATTAAATGTTGTTCTTCTTCCAACTTCCCCAATGAATTCACCGGGAAAATCTAGTTGACTTACCCGATTATCGGCGGAAAATGTGGCAGATCGATGCGCTGCACTGACTTGATCAAAAACTCGCGAAGATTTGCTGTTTTTGGGATAAAATCAAAATCGAGCTCTCACTGTTTCGGATACGAACATCAGCACCGTAATGTTTTGGTTTATTCTCTGTTCTCTGGTAGCATGGGACGCACAAGTCCGTCTATTAGGTAGGGTAAACGCGGGTTCATTCAAAAGTCCAAAGTCCGATTATCTACAAGGCGAGAATTACGAACGGGCGCCAGTGGCGGGGCCCAGTGGGGGCCCAAAAATCATCGAAATTGCCAGAGTTTATGATAGTCATAGGCGAAACTTTTTACAGCCCTTATTCGGAGTGGGGAGATTTATTTTGCATTTTTTCCAATAAATTCAGTTAAAGCAAGTGCACAGCAATGAAAATATCAACAGGAAAAACCGTGCGGTTGATGATAACGAATGTTTCAGAACATCATCGGTCTTTGTAATTTGCATTTGCAAATTCATTTGGTTCAGGGGCGGATACAGCTTTAAAGTCAGGGGGGGTTATGTAGAAAAAATTCAGTCTTCTGTTATCTATGAAATTAGAAAAATTAACGTCGTTTTGGGCAAGGGTGGCGCAAGATTATTGCAAAATTTCATGTTTTCCATCCCGTTTTGCATGTTTCTCGGAAGCAAAATGAGCAAGAACGCTCGTTTTTAC